TTGACTTTCTCATGATTAATGTCTGCATGAGATGCCTTTCTCTGTAATTTTATTTTTGATCTGCCTTGGTCTTTAAAGTATATTTTTTATACACAGACTATAGTTGGGCCTTGTTTTTATCCATGTGACAATATGCCCATGAATGTGGCATTAGTAGATTTCTGCTTAATATCATTATTTATCAGTTTAAATACATCATGTTTATATTTTTTCTTTGTAACATCAGTTTTGTTTTCCATTGGTCCTCTTGTTTAGTGCTTTTCCTACCCTATTTTTGTGAACTGAATATTTTTTATTATTCTATTTAATCTTCCATAGTGACTTCTTGTCATGTCCCCTGTTATAGTTTAGTTGTTACTCTATTGATTATAAAATGCATATTGAACTTATTACAGGATATCTTCAGATAAATCAACTCTCCAAGAAATAATTTTTCTTGCGTCCCATTTCCTTAAAACTCAATCTGTTGTGGTCGGCGCCGCGGCTCACTAGGCTAATCCTCCTCCTTGCAGCACCGGCACACCCGGTTCTAGTCCTGGTCGGGGCGCCAGATTCTGTCCCGGTTGCCCCTCTTCCAGGCCAGCTCTCTGCTGTGGCCCGGGAGTGCAGTAGAGGATGGCCCAAGTACTTGGGCCCTGCACCCCATGGGAGACCAGGAGAAGTACCTGGCTCCTGCCATTGGATCAGCGCGGTGCACCGGCCGCAGCGGCCATTGTAGGGTGAACCAACAGAAAAAGGAAGACCTTTCTCTCTGTCTCTCTCTCTCTCTCTCACTGTCCACTCTGCCTGTCAAAAAAATAAAAAATAATAAAAAAACTCAATCTATTGTTCCATTATCCTTTAATAAAAAATCTGTAAAATTTCTTGTGTTTCAAATTCTCTCTACTGTAGTTTTTTAATTTAAACATCTTTCATTTATTCTGATGTTTTAAGATACTTTGTTGGAGGTAAAATATCTTCTTGCATAGTAAGTTTTCTTATTCAGCCCTTTGAATCTTTCCTGTTTTCCTCATAAGAAATAAGCAATAATTAGTACCATTTTTCTTTTGTATGTAATGTGAATTTTCGTCTGATTTTAAGATTTTACTTGCAGTGAAATAGTAAGACTTTTTGTTGGTGGATTGTTCATTCTTCAAAAAGTGTTTTTGACCAATTTCCTCTCTTTCTGGTGCTTCAGTTATATGTTAGATTGTTTGATACTGTCCCACAGGTCACAGGGACTTCTTGCATATTTACAGCAGTTTTTTGAGTTTGTATAATTCTTTTTATCCTGACTTTGTGTTAACTGGCATTTTATTTTTCATTGTGCATAAATTGTTAAGGTTATCCAACTTTCTTTTTCCACTTAAATATCATGGTTTCCGTTTTCAAATTTCAATTTCGTTCTTTTTTGTAGTATCTATTTAATGAAATTATGTTTATGCCTTTTTAAAAAAGTTGAATAGATTTATTATAGCAAATTTTAAATTCCTTATCTACTAATTAGAGCACCATTTTCACGTCTAAATCTTTCACATTTTACCTCCTAGTTACATTTCATATTTCACCATCTAGTATTTTTAAAGTTTTATTCATCCATAATTAATGTGCATATTTATGAGGTGCAAGGTGATATCTCAACACATCTATAATATGTGATAATCTAATCAGAGTGATTAGCATATCATCACCTTAACACTTAATCTTTGTTGTGAGAACATTCAAAATCCTCTCTTCTAGCTATTTGAAACATACCATTCGTTGTTAGCTGTGGTATCCTCCTGTATAACAGTCTTGCATATATAAAACAGAGTATTGATGAAAGTCTCATTGAGTCCTAGGCAGATTTATGGAGCTCCTATCTGCGAAGCTCCAGTCTCTGCACCTTTCCTGAAGATTCCCATCTGCCGTGTGGCCCAGCCTGTTTCCTTCGCCCAGTTGAGAATGCTGCTGTCCGGTCTGGCTCTACATTAGAAGCCAGGGCTCAGAATGTGTCCTCTCCCAAAACTTCAGGATAAATGTGGAAGCCGCCTTGTGTTTTTCTTCTCTCAAAATCACACCCTTGTGCTCTCTCCTGCCAAGGTCTGAAAATAGCTACTTCTAGTTGAATTGCTGTTACGGTCTAATATTCATTACCCCGGGATAGCAGGAACAGATTTCCTGGTGTTTTATTCGATTTTCTCCCTATACAGTGCTGCTGCTTGTCAACTGGTCAGTACTGCACAGACCCAATTTGTAGCATTTTCTAATCTATTTGGTGGGGTAATAGAGAGTCACATCAGCCTGAAGTGAATGAATGGACGTCTACAGTTCTGCTTGCAATTTATCCCTGTTTTTATTTGGGTAGCATTTAGATGGTCCCTTGATTTAAACAGCACTTGCCACAGATGACATTACACAGCAGGAAGTAAGGTGGCCATCGGCTTTGACACTGTGTTTCAGCACTGCTCACTGTGGGTTGGGTCTTGGGTTTCTGGTTCATTTGGGTTCCTCATTACCTCTTGCCTTTAACTACCCATTTAGTCTTTCATCTTTAGAGGTGAAAAGATTAACACACCATGCTGGGTATTTCATTTTTTTGTCACCTGTTTTAATATAGTTTTCATGGTGCAAGCAGCTTGCACAGAAATTAGGATGCCACTTGAGACTCCCATGTTTCCAAGTGCCTGGGTTCAAGTCCCAGTTTTGCTGTCAATTTCAGCTTGCTGCTAATTACACCCTGAGAGGCAGCAGGTGATGGCTAAAGGAGTTGGGTCCCTGTCGCCTATGTGGGAGACCTGGTTCCTGGGCTTTTGGGGAGTGAAGGGGCAGATGGGAGCTTGCTTACTCGTTCTCTCGATCAAATAAAAAAAAGTAAATTTTTTGAAAAGAGTTTTCAAGAATTCAGGAGAGCATGCTGTTTTCAAATGAGAGACCCTGTTGCTCCTGCAGTACTTTGTGATCATATCACAGTATATTAAATTTGTTCTTGAGTCTGCCTCCTTGCTTAGATGGACCCCTTCTAAGGAAGGAGTCCTACTCTCTATCGACTGCCTTAACAATCTCTAGAACAGAAGTGAAAGACACAAGTGGGTTTTCTAGCTCTTAGATATTCAGAAAGATGGAGTATACAGTACTTAAGTCAGAATACCATGCATACTCCTGAGTTTATAGAGTGTAGACACAGGATTGGAAAACTGAATTGAGAATTCGTGAATATCAGTGAATATAAAAAGTGAAACAAGGTAAATTATGACCACAGCATTGTTTTGTTCACCAAAAGGAGTTATCACTTGCAGTATGAAACTTCGTAAAACCAGAAAACAGGTGAGGGACACAGAGTGATCCCATGTGTCTTCTGAAACCTTGTTCTTTGTCTAACTCCTTAAGCATCAGCCTTTCCTTATATAACACACCTGTCACATTTTCTATTATTTTCAGTTCTACTTGGTTTTATATTTGGATATGCTCAGACTTTCCCTTCTGATCCTATAAGGTGCTTGAGATTAAACGATTGTATGTGGACGTATTTTTTTAAATCTCTTTACTTAGTCGAATGCATGTCTAAAAATCTAAAGGAACTCAATCAAGTTGGTAGAATAAGGAAATAACTAATATTAACTAGGAGTAAGTTTTAAGTGATAAGATTTTCCATCATACAATTTTTTTTAATTTCTAAGAAAATATTTTAAAATTATTTTGATATATGCTATAATAGCTAGGTACTAAAATAGATCCCTAGTGGCTTGCATTTGTGTATAAACAAATAATTTTTAATGAGGCAGCATGTCATGTAATATATGGATTCTTTTTAAAGTGGTGGAAATGGAAAGTTCAAAGGACACCAAGAAAAATTTTTTAATGTTTCCAATATGTTAAAATTCTCTTTTATTACTACTAAGTTAGTGTAAAAGAACTGTCACTCAGACAACAATGTTATCTGAAATAGCACAAGTTCAGGTAAGCAAATGATAACTGTTCATAGTGGATGTTCTCCAGATGCATCCTTTCTAGGGAACGCTGACCAGGCTTTCCCCAGCAACAAGGACAAGCTAAACCTTCTAAAGCTTTCTTCTGCACATGATTAGGGCTCCATAGCTCACACACACATAGATTTTTTTTCATAGGAGTGTGATACCATTTTTTTTTTTTTTTGCTCCTAAGCCTATGCAGATGGTCAGCATGTTGATGCCTTTTATGGGTAAGAAACTTTAAGCTTGCAGCTGCCTTTAAAAATGCACAAGCCATATTCTAGGTTTATTTCAAGACTTTCTCATTATTAGTTCAAGACTCTTCAAAATTACTCAACTGAAGGAAAAAAAAAAACATCTAGGTCTTTAGCTACTAAATCATTTAAGGAAGTTTGCCCTAGAATTTCTTGTATGATATTATTTTTTTTTCTCCTTGGAAAAATTTTATTGAAAAACACTTGTACAAATAAGTTCTTGGTCTGACAGCAAGAAAGGCTTGTGCCCCCCCTTCCCTCCCCCTCTTTGAAACACTAAAAAAAAAAAAAACAAAAAACAAAAAAAAACACACACACACACAAAATGACCCCAAAAGTTTGTTCCCCATGAAGCCAGAGCCTGCCCGGGGCCCCTCCTATGGGCTGTGTCCCCATCCCCTCCCTGGGGCCAGGGCCACTGCTGGCAGCTGCAGCACCTACTGTTGTTGAGGACAGCGGGAGAGGTGGGGGGAGCCGGGGAGGGGCTAGAGGTGGTGGTGGGGCAGGGGCAGGGGCCCAGCTGGACTGTGGCTCCGTGTGCCCTCACAGGTGAGGCGGTTCATGGCCATAAATATGAACACTGATGGAGGCAGGTTTAGCCACGTCTCAGGGGGCAGGGCGGGAGGGCTCTGCACCGTGGCATCTGGGGGCCGTGGCCAAGCGTAGGGAATTCCAGCAGGGAACTGGGTCTCTGTCTTCCCACCCCCACCCCGTGGACCACCCAAGGCTGGGCCCTCCCTGCCCACCCCCCCAGTAGCACCCATGTGTCTCAGGAGCCTGTGACCGTCTCCTGCCACCCCGTGCCCACCCGGGGGCCCTACAACTCGTCCCGCATCTTGTCGCCCTTGGGCCGGACCAGGCGCCCGATGAAGAGCAGGGAGCCGCTCTGGGCGTCGCGCACCAGGAAGGTGAAGGGGTGGTCAGCATAGAAGAGCTTGGGGCTGTGCAGCTCCTCGCGCCCATAGATGTCCTGGTTGAAGGGTTGCCATCCGTGTCCCACTCGAAGGCGGTGGCGTGGAACACGCTGGCCAGGTACAGGTCCTTCTTGCCCGACATGCGCGACAGGTCCGCCTTGTTCTTGTCCATGGCCTCGGTCAGGCCTAGCCCGGCCAGGTGTTTCTGCAGGTCATGGGTCACCTCCACCACGCCCTTGGGCAGGGAGATGGCCACTGCCTTCTTCGGCATCTTCCCCATCCAGGTCTTCAGCTGCTCTTTGGTCAGCAGCTTCTCCAGGCGCTCGAGCGGCTCCACGTGGTGGGGCATGATGATGATGAGGCTGGACAGCTTGTGGGCCAAGGGCATCTCCACCATCTGCAGCTTCTCCTTCTCATCGTCATAGTAGTTGTAGAGGCCTGTCCGGTGCATCATTGTGACACCCACGGTGTAGGAACGGGTCACCATGAAGCCGCGGTTGTCCACCATCTTGTGGAACTTCTCATCCCAGTGCGGCTTGAAGAACATGGCATTGACGAGCAGCGCGCCGTCCGTGCGCTCCACGTCCTTGGTGACCTCGGGCAGCTTGCCGTCGGTGGTCTGCGCCGCCCCCTCGTTGATGCACTGCAGGGCGCTGCGCTTGTCGCGGAAGTTGATCTTGGAGTGCTCGCAGTTGTAGTGCTGCTTGCTGCTGCGCACGAAGTCGTCGGGGAAGCTCACCGAGCTGGGCCTGTACAGACGGCTGGCTGCCCAGCTTCCAGGTCACGTTGCGCGCCGTGGAGTTGCTCAGGGAGCGCCACAGCTCGCACAGGCCGGCGTGCACCTCCTCATCGCGCAGCTGCTCGGCGCTCAGCACCGCCTTGGCCTGCGACGCCGTGGCCGCCTTGCCGCCCTGCTATACGAGCCCCAGAGAGGAGGCCACCACCACGGGCGACAGCAGGATGTTCTCCACCGCCTGGTCCTTGGCCATGGCCTGGTACAGGCTGAAGGCCAGGTTGGCGCTGCGCTCGGCCAGCGTGGTCGCCTTGGGGCTCAGCTTCTCCGCGGTGCCGGGTGCTGCCGCCGCCGCGGGCTTCTTCACCTCGGCCGCCAGGGCCACCGCCAGGAGGCAGAAGGCGCTGAGGAGCTGGATGGAGCGCCTGGCTGGGAGGCGGGCGTGGACTGCGTGGGCTGCGGGGGACCTGGTGGGCTGGGCTGCTCGGGACCAAGCCGCTGTCGCGCCGCTCTGTATGATATTATTTTAAACCCCTGATTAGATCACACTAATAAACATATGAGCTCCACTTTATCATAAGGAGGGAAGTTATTCCCATGCAAATCCATGGGATAGTCTAGAAATTTTCATCACTTATTGCCCGCTCTTTCTTCTGTTTCTACTCCCTGTCTGAAATCTCCCTGGTATTGTGGCTTGCTGCTCGGCTTCCCTAAGCCTCTGAGTCAGTCCTGGAATATATGTGTTTTTAATCTTCAGTGTTTATTTAACAAGGAACTAGCAGTAGAGCAAATGAAGCTGATCTGTAACTTGTGATAAGCAAGATAAACAAAATAATGAGTCTCTTTAGAATAAAATGTAGAAGAATCTTTGAAGAATTTGCCCTAGTAACTTTGGAAAGAATGATGCTTTAGATCACAAAAGAGATGGATGTTTCTCATGCTTATCCTATGAGAGCCAGTAGGCTGAATAATTCTGAATGAGCCAGACTGGCACTTTAGAATTGATGTAGTAATGCATGTATGCTTTACTCTATAAAACATATGCAGGGTGATAGCAGAATCACTTTGCCACTATGAAAGCCACATAGGATGAAATGTTCAAATATGCTGCAGCTTGTAATTCAGATTTGGGACTCGCTATTCTCTCTTCCTCATACTTCAAATAAATTTAAAAAAAAAAAAACTAAAGTATTCCTTTTCTTTGTGCAGAGCTTTGTTTTTTTTTTTTTATTTCCTCCAAGAAATGCCTTTTTTTCAGAGAAATTCTCTGTTTTTCATTTATATTTTTAATCTACACTCCCATAATATTAAATTGAAGAATCAAAGTTTCCAGATATCATAAAAGAATATTTGAGAAGATTGTGCTTTAATAGGATTTAAATGAAGTAAAGACTTAGCCTGAGTAGCTTGGAATTGCACAATTTCACTCAGCCTTGCATAGTATCTTTTAATTAAGGAGGCTGTAAAAATTCTATTTAATGCAAAATCTCAAGTGGCCCGAGGTGTGTTCTATCTCGCCCCTTCTTTCTCATTGCTCTACTGTTTTGTGAACTTCTATTACTCCACCAACAGCCCAATCAGTAACTCCATATGCTTCGGCTGCCTCACTGCAGGTGGTGTATCCAACATGGACTGTCAGAAAACTGTGAAAAGAAGTAAACAGCATTTCAGGGGCAGAGAAAGTCATTTCTTGGGGCATAATTTTTCTTATTTTATTTCTCCTTGTCTGGAGTGGACTTTTCTGCTTATGTCCTATTCATAATTCCCACAAAAAGTTCCTTAAGGGTTCCTTTACTTATTTATTTCGTTTTGATTTAATATCCACTGCTTAACATAGTACCTGGCACACAAAGAGTATTCGGTGAATATCCATAAGGGTGGAAAAATAAATACAGAGTTGAGTTTAAATAAGAAATGGGCTGTGTCGTGTTGGAATCTATTCTTCAAATTCACTATGCTCACAGCAGGTCGGGGAAGACATTTCAGAGAGATGCTGTTCTCCTCCAAGACTTGTAAGTCATAAGAATTTGGAAGAAATAAGATGAGAAAAGACATCAAGTTGGAAGGAATATTATAGGTAAAATACAAAGGTATGAGGTGCTATAATAGAAAGGGTACAGCCTTTAGACTAAGGCACAGTAACAGTACACTCTCAGCTCAGGCCACTGAAATGGTATTCGGCCTTGGATAAGGTGTTTAACCCAGATGAGCATCAGTTTCTTTATCTGTAAATAGATAATACCTCTTGTGTGGGATGTGATGACATCTGTCACACAGCTGCTGGCCAATAATTGGTAGCCACATTATTGTCCTTCGTTCACTGTGGCCTGGGTGGTGCGTGGAGAGCTGGCCAGAGGTTGACAGGAGATAAAGCACAGACAGCAGGCTGGTGTGTGTTTACAAGACAGCTTAGATGATATTTCAAACAGATTGCTGCAGGGAATCCAAAGATACTTGCACATGCGCTAACTGTCCAAAGCCCACAGTTCATATTTTACCCTTTAAATACAAATGCAGAAACAAGACAGCCATGTAGATTCCTTTACTCTCCCTCCTTAATGCCTTAGTTACCAAGGGAAGTGCGCCTATATAAACACTGAAGCTCTATCAGAAAATGGTCATACATGTATTTAAGACCCTAAGAGGCTGTTTGGTTTACTCAGGTAGTTACCATCTCACTTTTTTTCCCTTCATTCTCCACATTCCAGGTTTCCCTCTCGAACCATTTCTCTTCTTCATGAAGAACTTCTTTTATCGTTTTTAGAGTAGGTGTGCTGCTGTGAATTCTGTTAGCTGCTTTTGTTCACCTAAGAATGCCCTTATTTTGTGGTTTTTCTGAAGGGTATTTTGATAGATATAAAATTCTAAGTTAATAATTACTTGCTTTAAGCTCTGTAGGCAGATTATTATATTATCTTCTGGCCTCTGTGATTTCCATTAAAATATTCTATGATTTGAATCCTTGTTCTCCTATATAATATCCTATAAATATCTTTGAATTTTACCAGATTGATTACATGAGTCTACATGTGTTTTTCTCTTTTTGGATTTGTCTGACTCTTACATTTGTAAATTTGTGCCTTTCACCAAGTTTGAGACTTTTTTTTTTTGGTCTGTCAACAAATATGTTTTGCAAGTCTACTACATGCCAGATTGCCCATTTCCGGAGTTAACTGAAGTTCTAGTGAGATGAGCTTACACTACAGTGGAAAGAAAATAATTGACAATTCCTTGTCCAACCCTGTTCCTCTTCCTTTTTTTTCTCTTTGTATTTTTCTTTTACTTTATAAAACTTTAAAAATTAATAATTATGCTTTTGGACTACAGTGTAACATTTCGATACCTGTTTGCAGTCTGTACTGATCAAATCAGCATTATTCATATAGCCCCCTTTCTGCCATTACTGGATGATGGCAGCCTTGGAGCCTCTCCTATCTGCTCAGAAAATATGTCATAGATTATTGCAACTATAGTCACTCGCTGTGCTGTGCAGCATTAGGAACTTACTCTTCTATCCAGCTCCAGTTTGCTGTTGGTTATCCAGCTTCTCTCCCTCCCCCCCCCTCCACCACCCCTCCTGGCCTCTAGTAATTGCTTGTTCATAATGAGATTGAGGAGTATTTTTTAGCTTCCACATATGAACAAGGGTATGTGGTATTTATCTTTCTGCATTTGGCCCATTTCGTTGAATGTAGTATCCACTAGTTCCATCCCTTTTGCTGCAAGTTATAGAATTTCATTTTTAATGGCAGAATAATTTCCCAATACATGTATATACCATGTTTTCTTTATCTTTTTATCTATTTATGACACCACAATTGAATCATTCTTCAATAAACATGGTAGTTCAGGTATCGCTTTGATAAAATAGTGTCATGTCTTCTGGACATATACCCAGCAGTGGCATTGCTAGATCATATGGTAATTCTGTTTTTAGTGTTTAAAGGAATTCCCATACTGTTTTCCGTAGTGGCCGTGCGAATTTCCATTTCTACCCACAGTGTGTAGGACTTCCACTTCCTCTACATTCTTGACAGCATTTGTTACTTTTTATCTTTTTATAATAGCCATTCTACCTGGGAAGAGGTAGGATTTCCTGGGTTTGAGGTGCATTTGCCTGACACCTATTGATATTGAGCACTTACTCAAATGTGTGTTGGCCATTTGTATTTCTTCTTTTGAGATACATTTCGGGTCATTTATCCATTTCTTGATTGGTTATCTTTCTTGCTATTGAGTTTTTTGAGTTCCTTTCATGTTCTGGGTATTAATCTTTTATCAGACAAGTTTTCAGCTATTTTTTTTTTTTTTGCATCAATCTCTTTCTCCTTTCCTTTTGGAATTCTAGTGACACAAATGCAAGACCTCTCCCACAGACTCTGAGACTGTGTCCATTTTTTTTTCCAGTAAGGGTAATTAATTGATCGATTTCAATGTTCAAGGACTCTATATTTCCTGTTTCTTTCAAAAGGATATCTATCTTTCCATTCATTTCAAAAGATGTTCTCTTACTGCATAGAAGATAGTTTAAATCACCGCTTTAAAAGTTTTGTCCAATAATTTCAATTCATGAGTCACCTTAGAAATTGCTGTCAATTTGCTCAGAATTCCTTGAGAGTAGAGATTTTTCTGATTATTTTTGTGAAATCATTCTGGATTATATCCTGGATATTTTGAATGTTATGTTTGAGATTGTGGTCCTGTTAAAAAAATCTCTTAGTGAGTATTTTCCTTTTAATTGGTTTTGTTTTTTATTTGTATTTACAGGTAATCAACCTGCTATGGTTCTTGCCTCCCTTCTGTAGGCTTTCATTCTGATGTACACTTAGTTTTCATATCCTGTTTAGTGCTATATGCTTCACACACATGCCACTCAGAAATCAACCTGAGCTTTTTAATTGCTGTAGATCATGAGAATCTCTATTTTATTTATTTTTTAATTTTTATTTGAAAGAGTTAAACATTAAAGGAGAGGTGGGGGGGGAGTGAGGGAGGGAGGGTTCACTCCCCAGTTGGCCACAATAGCCAGAGCTGTGCTGATCCGAAGCCAGGAGCCAGGGGCTTCTTCCAGATCTCCCAAAAGCGTGCAGGGGCTCAAGGATTTCCGCCATCTTCCACTGCTTTCCCAGGCCATAGCAGAGAGCTGGATCAGAAGTGGAGCACCCGGGGCTTGAACCAGTGCCCATATGGGATTCCAGCACTGCAGGGAGTGGCTTTACCTGCTATACCACAGCGCTAGCTCCAACCTGAGCTTTTCCTTTGTATCAATTCTTGAAGAATTTTCCATGATGCCTTATGTAATTTCAGTATATGTGCAGCTCAGCAATGAACCTGTAGCGTCATACAGAAATGTAGGGCTCATTATCTCTGCCATCTCCCTCTCCATGATTTCTCTCACTCACTAGTCCCCAGGGGCTCCCATCCTGGGTCTTCTATCTTCAAAGTCAGGATTTTCACTGTGATAAGGGGTAGAGAAAATTAATGAGGATTTTTACACACACACACACACACACACAGTATGAACCACAGAGATCCAGTTTTGCAGTTCCTCTGCTCAGAGAGTGTGTCTTTCAGAGTCTAGTTATATACATAACTTCTGCTTCCACTTGTGTATGGTTTTGTCAATAAGGCTTGTCTGGGATGGAGCCAGATGAGTAAAATTAGCAAGTGTGTGTGTTTTGGGGGCGGGGGGGGGGGGGACATGGATTTCCTCCAACCGCCTCCATTCTAAAGACTCTTCATGGTCCTGTAGACTGAAAAACGCATATGTTTTTCTTGGGCTTTTTCTGTCTCTGTCTGCTACACAGTTTTGGGATTTGGAATTCTCTAAGTCCAAATGAGATAATCAGGAAGAAAAAGAAAATATCAGTACATTCACTGCCATATTGGTTCTATTTTCAATTTTGATTCCTCTTCCCCAATTTACCTCCTATTTATTTTTCTGAATCCTTTGTTCACATTTTTATTTGTATCAAATGGGAGATGGAGGGCGGTCGGAGTTTGCTCTATGGTAGCTAGAAATGTAACCAAACTAAATTACATGGTTCTTGTCTCTCTGTTGGTACTCTTGGTTTTGTTTGTTTTTTTTTTTTTTTCTTGTTTTATACTTGCTTGTGTGTTTGCTTTGCTTTGCTTTTACATCAGAAGTATATTTGCCAATTATATTTGAGTTTTAAAATTATGACTTCTTTGCAAATGGTCACTTCTCTTTTCCATAAATAAGGGGGAGGGACACCTCAGATACTACCTAAGGAAAAGACTTTCATAATTATTTGAAAAACCATGAAGTTGAGGGGGAAATAACAACCATTTAAAATCTCTGGCTCTGATATTTCTCTTCTTGCCTGTTAAGTTTTATTTCTGCAGCACACTTTTGAGCTGTTTATTTAATCAAAAAAAATCACCATATACTGTCTAGGGAAGTTGAGGGATATGACATAAACTGGTCCACTTTGAACACAATTTGTGAACAATATTGATGAGCAATAGCCCCATGAACCCACTCAAACAGACACAATTTTGATCCCTTGCCTAAGAAGATGAACCTAATCTTTTAGTAGATCCCAAGAAATTAATGCTAATTATTTTTTAAAAAATGAAGTTTGAGGCAATTACACTGCCAAGATCCATTCATCACCCCAATTTCTAATGCTGTTTCCTTTTCAGCCTATCATTTAATGAACTTCACATTGAACGCTTACTGCATATTGACACGGTGCCAGTGAGGGGACTACATCAGTGAATTCGATGAGTTCCTGTCTTCTAAGAGTAGAGGACACACACATGCGCAATTTACGAGGTTGTTTTGCAGACTGTGCTGAGCGCTGTATTTTACAGAGACAGAAACAGGTTCCTCTGAAAACATATACAGGAACAGTTCGCCCTTCCAGAAGGAAGTGAGGAAGGTTTGCTAGAGAGCTTGTGCTTACAGTGAGCTTTCAGGAGGCACTGGGCCACGGAGAAGTGGAGAGCAGAAGAAATGCCCTTCCAAGCAGTGGTATGAGACGTGCAGGTGCACAAGGGCAGGGCATACTTAGGCGGAGGAAATAGCTCAGAATGACTGATGTGTGGTGCATTGTGCTTTTCTATTCTCTTGAACCCAAGTTGTATTATTTCTCTGATATCTTCATTTGTGAATTGACCAAACTGGAAATCAGGACTTGCTATGGGCAATGAATTTATGAATTTGTATTTCAGATTCTTTTCTCCTACAGAGATAGAAATACTGAGCAGAGAAGGTAGTATGGGCAAATAGAAACAGTTTATTTGGCAGTGGGGGAATAAAAGTACATTTACCTGAAAGTGTGAACTGCCCTAACCAGAGAAGTACACGAATAAGTGGGCCACTTGCCTATCAACTAGGGAGAAAAGAACTGAAAATGGTGCCCGTGGTTGGGAAGGTCTGTCTGAGAACAACGGGGTGACCGAGTGGAGAAGCTCCATCAGGGCACTGCAAAGATGAGTGCAGTACCTCTGAGAAAGGTCCAAGGAGGAAAGAAAAGCCCTCTCCTGCCTTCTACTTCCTTTTATCTCAAATGCATCCCCGTCCTGCCTGCCACAGATGCATCATGGGAAAATGGGCACTTTGACAAGCAGGAGGGTGCATGGGGCGTGGCGGGGCAGGGGCTGTGACTTCTGGCTCTGTAGACCTAGCTAGCTGCCTGCCTATTATCAGATGTGCTATTGCTGGGGTACCTGGGAGAGAGACAGTGGGAGTTTGTTACTTCTTGATACCTGTGCTCTCATGCTCCCTCTGGGTGGAAAGCACCTCCTGCCAACCTCCTCCCCCAGGGAACCCTTCTAGCTCCCCCTCTCCCCCTGTCTTCCTTACTCCCTCCCTCCTAAGGAATAGCAACTAATTCCTTAGTAACACACCTCCCCTTACCTCAGCGTCTTACCACTTTGCCTGTGTGGTTCGGTACCCTCATAATAACCAGAAAGAAAACAGTAATAAATGCAAATGTCCCAGGGTGGATTGAGCTCATACAAGGCATCTATTTTCCTGCCGGAACACCCTGAAGTAACATGTCTTGCCTTCCTTTCAATTTGTATAAAATCATTAAGAAACATAATCCAATTCTACTTTAATTAGCTCAGAAAATCATAGGGCTGGTCTATTCCCTTTTATTCTGTAAAATTATTTATAGGCATATTTTAAAACTGGGGAAAAATAATCTCATGTATCCTGGATTTTAAGAAAATATTAAAGCAATTTGGACCGTAACTAGATACACAAAACTAGGTTTTAAAGATATAAAACTCCAGGTACACTTTGGACTTAATTCTATTTTGTATAATGGGAGGAACAGCATTTCCCGCCTCCATTCATGAGATATGGCAGGGCTTAGATATCTAAGGAACCCCTATGCAAGAGTATTTCCC